GTCTGCTGCAGCTATCATCTGACCAAAAGGAGGGGCATGAGAAATGGATGCAAGGCAGCTATACAACCCTAAAACTTTGCAATGAACTCTGGAAACTTCATTGCCGAGTGACAGCCAGTCCAGCTTTTCTGTCAGACTACTTTGTCTCGCTGTATCTTAAATGGGTTTGATCTACATTACTCAAAGGACCTCATTGTTTGAGTATTGCCCAGCCCACTGGTGTTTATTTGATGGCCTTCTCAAGGCATTTCCTGGAAGACGCAAGAAAAATGAAGGCCAATTTCAAACTGATATAAAAAATCTCACCAGCCTGCTTTATACTCACCAAGTTCCCCTAAGCCTGCTTACACCTGCTCTTGGAAAGGGAAAAGGGTACAAGTGGCTGTAACCTAATTAGAAACCAGCCAGAAGCAGGGGTCGTTTACAATTAAGTTAGGGCTATTACAAGTGAATAGGTTTACAGCAAAACTAGAACACACTGAGCTAAAACTGAAACATCAGGCTCCACGACTGAAGACACCAGCAGGTGTCAAATATTCTAGGTGGCCTTCACACAAGGGACAAAAAGTTCAACAAACAGTTGCAGAGCAGCGGTGTCCTCAGTTGCAGCAGGCAGGTGTAAGACCTAAGACCTTCCCCATTTGCAGAGGAGCGTTAAGAGACCATAAGGGCAGGTAAGTAAGGATGGACACACCTTGCAATGGTGCAAGGCACTGAGATGGGCTGAAAGTCAAGCAGTATAATTGCAAATATGTTAAAATACAGTTTTCTCCAGGAAGTCCAGGAGAGACAGATGCCCGTGTGTCATCTCTCCTGTGGAGGCCTCACTCATTCAACTCTCCTGGAAATGCAGAAGTAAATTAACAGTGTTATTCCCTGGTATGGGAAGAACACTGGTACCAGGGACAATGGTAATCCCTAGGAAGCTTAGCTGTCCCACCCTTTATTCCCTTAGCATGACTGGCCCTGGTCATCAATCAAATCAACAGGGTTCCCAAGACCAAAACTCTTCTTCCTCCTCGAGTAGTGAATTTGCTTACGATTTCCAATAGCAGAAAAATCCAACTACTGGATATGACAGAAAATATTCTACCAGCTACAGTGTATTTACCATGTGCACAGAAAAATGAACAGAAGAAGAACCCAGTTCCTCTGTTTGTCTGTCAGGTGCTGAATCACATCGACCTCATGCCAGCAAAAGTGCTAGGTGGATTTGGGCAGCATCAGCCAACACTGACTGCAATGACAACACATAGAAAATGTCAATAATAATCAAACAAATGTTCCTGACAGTACAGAACTGGTTAGTTAACCATACAGTAGATTTTAAACAACTTCCCATGTGTATTTGCAGCCAAACTGCAGTATTTGGATCACTCTTGGGTTTTCTTAAACATCATGATTTAATATGCAGTATGGTCTCTGCACTTGTAATTGCAGTAAAAGCGTTGTTGAGCAATAATCTGCACATTGGACTTCTACTACTTGTAACCAAGTGATCGGCTTACCAGTGTCAGCACTGCCACAGAATGGAGTAATTATGAAAAGCAGTTAATGGAAACATTACTAGTTGTTATTACTCCACATGCACAGTTCCATGTTGAATTGCCATCCATGCCAATCCTCAGAGTTTTAGATTAAATGTTTCAATACTTTGTGCTCTGCACAAAGAACTAAGTCACAAGATAAAGCTCTGTCTGGGATTCCCATCACATGTTCCCCTGATTTACATTTCTTTATAAGAGCCATTCCTCGCAACAAAAAGGGACATACAGTTATTGGATCACATCTCACCAGAGACAGATCCTCTCCCATATCCAAGCATCTGTAATTCCCTAATGTTTACAGTGATACAATGTTCTTGTGACAATTGCAGCAAAATTGCATCTGGCAAAATTGCATGGGGACATGAGTGAAAATATCTGACAGGACTTAGAGCTTGGAATCCCTGGGTCGGTAGCATGCGATTGCCCCACACTGCAGAAAGCGCTCCAGACACCAGGGTTTGTGAACCACCAAAATACACTGCAAGTTCAAGTACGTGCATTATATTTTAATGGTGAAATCTTAGCTGAGGACTGACAGGACTTTTCAGTTCAGAGAGGCTGCATGCAGCTTTGTTCATGCCAAATTCTGCAGATCTTGTGCACACCAGCAATCCTGTCGAAGCCCATTAAACTACTACCTATTTCTTATTTACGACGGAGGACCACAGGATCAGAATCTGTCTCAGTGGTATATTTTCATTAGACTGCATTTTCTGTTCAGGTAGAACAAGTACAAATAGCTGCAGGAGTTAAATCATTTTACAGAGGATCATGGCAGATCTCTGCTTTCCTCTTTTCTTAGAGCTAGGAGTGCTGGATTTCATTACGCATTTCATTACCAAATCACTGGTTTCTCAAGTTCACCATCCTGGCCTCATCAATGTCCGAAACCTCAAAAGGCAGAAAACCTCAACCAACCTCATAATACATCTAGCTAGTTGCAGAGTGATGCATACCATGCTCTTCTCTGCTTGGACTTGCAAGTAATTGCTCTACCTGCAAAGATATCCTGTGACCTATATTTTATGAAGCAAGAGATAAAGCAAGCATGTCTATAAATGTCATCGGCAGTCATAAAACTATTCCTCTCTTCTTAAAAATCTATCTGCACCAACTGACTCAATACTTTCAAGCAGCACTGAATGCGATATGCTGACTCAATGCTGCATCTGGAAGTATTTATTTTTGTTGGTTCTAAATTCATTTCCCGAAATAGATACCACAGATCTGGTCTCCAGCCAATATCAAGAGATATAGCTAAATTGAAGTCAATGGAGCTGAGCCATTACATTGCCAGCTAGAAATACAGCCCCTCCTAAGAGCATTCTTTGCTGCCACTACACAGTATTTTGTGCAACTGCCTCAAAGGTCAGCTTGTTAACAGGCTACTGCAGCAAAATTTGGGAGGCCAATCTACCATAGAAATGATTACGCTCAAAGTGCGATCAATCAGGGTCATAGCTGAGGCAACCCTTTCCTACGTGCACACAAGTGCTTAGGATGTAACCAGTGCTATTCATTTAACAAATTGGTAAAATTATTTTTAAATGTCACAGCATAGCTCCAAGATGTATTTATTCCTTGTAGTCAGCATTCTTTTGTTGGCAATTTAAAACTGTTGAAGTATAGACCTGATCTAATTTTAAGTTTTCTTTTATTGAGATAATAATATATTTGCCCTCGTATTCAGACCTTTCACTAGTTTTATACAGCTGTGTCTCTACCGGCTTCAGTATTGATACTGTCTTTTGTGTTCATGTCGAGAAAACTAAAATGAGGCTGTTTCTCTCTAAATTAGATTGCAGCTGCTGCTGCATCATTGGCTTATTACGACACTTTGATTTATATCTAACTAGCAAACTAACAAATAAGTCAAGTTACTAACTAGAGCCGCTTTGTTAAGCGCTTGTCTCGCATTGTCTAGATGGGATCAGGTACCAATGTAGGCGTATAAGCCAAGCCTGACATATCCTTTTCAAAGGCATACGTGATTAATGGGGCATTTCATTGCTGCAAGTGAACTCAGGCTTGTTCCACCCCTGAATACGAGTACTGAGAAGAAGTGCCATGACTTACGGAGATACTCTTTTCTCAGTATCGTCCTTAGGTATAATTTTCCCTGCTATTCTGTGCAAGGTAGCTTTGCCTACGTGCACTCATCAGATGCACGTGTGGAAACAGAGATATATGGTCACTGTTTCATGCAGTCATTAACCTATTTAACCAAGCACGCACACACACAAGGGAGAAACTTGCCACTTTTTCACTTGCATCTGCGGGGAATGCAGGTCTTCCCCAAGTCTTTGCTGGATGGACTAGTCAAGGTGGAGGATGGGCTGAGAGCAACTCAAGCCCAAAAGCCACCAGAGGTAACTGCTGCATTCACTGGGACGCCTCAGTGTGCGGAGATTGAACACAGGGTGCCACCGGCTCAGGGAAAGTCATCCCCGACTGCAGTGGGAAGGTGGTTTCGCTTTACAGAGAATGCATAAACAAGAGGAAATCCTTCTTGTGCCAGGGGAGAGGGAGCATTCACAGGACAGTCTTTTCACTGGATCATCTTTCTGTGTCTCGGATTTTCACTTTTTGGAAAAAAAAATTGTCTTGCACTGCCTGGAGAAAACCCACAGCACAAAGCTGTGGTGTTTGGGGTTTTTTTTAATAATCAGTGCGGCCCTGCAGCTCCAGAAGGCACCCAGCCCCAGGGTAGCCATGAGGTGGCGCCAAGATGGCTGCCAGGGCGGTTGCCAGGCAGCGTCCTCAGCCCCCGGGGTCAGCCATGTTGGGTGTGATGGCCCAGGCAGGGTGTGGGAAAGGCCAATGTCGCCATCGTTGGGTGTGCACTGCGGAACCAGCACATCGCCCCACACCTCCCTGGGCATAGCCCTCCAGAGAAGGTGTCCATGAGGCACGGGCTTCGCAAGGAAGACACAATACTGCAAAAGAGCTCATTAGGTGCATTTACACTACCCGCATGGGGAGCAGCCCGAGCTGGACGTCAAGCACAGCCATGTCACAGGCCAGGAGCATGGCAGGGCGGCCGAGGAGCAGCATGGTCCTTTCAGCGGCCTTCGCAGTGCTGCTGCCTGTCCATCTGCCTGCAGGTAAATGCAGAAAGGGGTTTGTGGCGGCGCTGCAAAAGCATGGACTGTGACTTACAAAGAAGGGAAGGCTTCAGCAGGGATTTAGCAACCCAGAAGAACTAAACCCGGTGGGTATTTAGGCTGTGAGGGTGCCGCCATGCTCTCCTCCCTGCACAGGGCTGCCTGGGGCGCTGAAGGATGCCCCTGGCTCTTCCCCGGCACATGCACCAAAGGAGGGGAGTGGAGATAGCTTCTCGTGCACCCCAAAGCAACAGCAGCTCCTCCTGCCAGGAGAAAATAGCTCTATCCTTTCCTTCTTTATCTCCTTTCCAAGAAAATGGACATGTTAGATTTGCCCGATCTTACCTACCTGCTTCCCATTGAGAGCAACGGATGAAAACAGCACAACCATATATTCTGCTGCTACATCCATATGCGTCTGGCAGCTTAAATTTTTCCCTCGCCTGACTTCACTTTTTTCTTTTTCCTTTTTTTTTTGTTCACTGAAGATCTTTTGTCTCCCCATCCAAAGAGCAGAGAAGACGAGCAAGGCAAAGGCAGAAGGAGTGGTGTACTTGAAGATGGGTCTCATGTTGGATTTGTCTGGCTGCTAAGACTCCAACAGAAGAAAAGATACCTGGCAAGAGACCGTGGCACAACGCTAGGAAATGTCACCCTGTAATTGTAGTCATAGTCCAGAGTCCTGAAGGAGATACAGTGAAAAGGGAACACATGCCAGCTTCTGTAGCAGGATTGATAACTATATTTGTACTTCCAAGGCATTACGAGGAGACAACAAATTTCATTACTATATTAGCATCTTCTGTATATGTAGGACTGCCTAATAAACAAAATGCTAAATATAATGGTAAATGCTAAATGGTAATAATGATAAATACTAAATGCTAACTATAATTTCCTGCCTTGTTGGAGCTGGACTATTTTTCCACCAAATGACCATGGAAACAACTTTGACAGAAGCTGCAGTGAAATGCTGGAGTGGGGAGAGAGCTCTTCCCTGTACTCTTGGAGGATGCACCCTGCCTTTGCTTTCAGGGCTCAGATATCTCTGTCCATCATGAAAACAACAAACCTCAGCTGGCGCAGGATTGCAAAGCAACACCAGGCACAGCCTGGGGGACAGGGAAGGGGTGCTGGTTTGCTCCCTCCTCAGCGACCCACAGCCCCAGCCCACGTGCAGAGCCAGCTTTCAGTGCCTGGGTTATGTTAGTGGAATTTTGGGTTAAGGGGTGGATAGTTTGAGCTCTTCTTCTTTTTCTCTCTCCTGGCAGAGCCTGATGCTGTACATGGAAGGGAAAGCCCTGCTCACATTCAGAGCAGCCTGTCTCAGGTGTGGCTGGAACCTGTAGATGAAGTTTGACCAGCCTTGGCAAAGTTTTTCAGGTGACTTTGAGTTTACAGGGCAAAGAATTATAGCTGCTGTAGGACCAGAGATCTGCCTCACTAGCGCCGGGGATGCCCAGGGCCAGGTTAATCCTCCGTCTTTGTTTTGGCCCCAGGCCCTGCTAATGTAGCATGGCCATCTCCTTCCTAGCTGCTTTGGTCGTTGCTCAAAGAGGCAAACCTTTCCCTGCCTCCCTGGAAGCAGACTGGGAGTGAAAATCTGTCTGCATTCCCTGATCCACCATCTTCTTTGCTTTCTGGGATCTCCCTGAGCAACTTCCCAGCCCTCTGGACAGTGTCCCTCAGTGTTAGGCAGGACCAGGCTTGTCCGGGTTGAAGGCTTCCCTCTGTGCCATGGAGGCACTGGTCCCATGGGGAACAAAGAGCAAAAAGTCACCGGGATCCCAGTGCTGTCCAGAGTCGCACAGCCCTGCGACACAGGTATGGTACAGGCACAAGAGGATTCACACATGTCTTGGGACAGAAGGATGAAAGATGAAGTGCAGAAGAACTGCATGACAGCATGTTTGGGGCCGGGCTGGATCACAACCAGCAAGGGAGAAGTTAGTTGTGGTACGTTAACACCTCGCTCCAGTGGCAGGGACGAGAAAGCCATCACCAAGGAACATCCAAGGGCTTCACAAACTCCTTAGCAACTTCTGGCCCTGCTCTCTCACCGATGCTGTTGCTCACCTCAGCTTGCATCCGCAGGAGAGATGGTCTTTCCTCCCTTCCCAGATGTGCGCGTCTCCCCACCCTTGGGCTGCTCTACCAGCTCCCACCTCACAGAGAGTTTCCAACAGGAGTGGGAGAGCTCGGTAGCCTCTCGGTGAAACCCGAGCTGCTGAGATGGGAAGGGGTCCCACCTCTGGTCCCTCGCCGCCCCCCTGCACCCCGGCCCTGGCAGCGCTGCTGGGACACTCGGGGAGGGCTGCTGAGCCGCGGCGAGGCCGGCGATGCCCAGGGGTCAGAGCACCCCTGCGGGGCAGGCGGGGCCCTCTTCAAGCCCCCCGGGGGCGGTGGGTGCCCGCCCGCCCCGCC